TCAGGCCGCCACCACCGCCGCGGGTCCTGCTCTTCCCTGCGCCCCGGTCCTCAAACTTGCTGGGGGCGTAAAACTCGCCCCCCACCTGGGGGCGCCCCTGGGAGCCGGCTGGGAGCAGAGGTCAGCTGGCCCCCCACCCTGCCGGCGTCATCCCAGGCCTCCGCCCACCTCCCGGTCAGCGGACACGGGCTCGGCCCTGGGTAGAGGCCCCTCGCTGGGAACCCAGCTCTGCGGGGTGGCCGAGGGGGGCCGTCCGGAGACCATGCGGGGCTCACGTGAGGCCTCCACACTGCACCCAGCTCTGCCAGCCTAGGGCAGGCCCGGCGGCCACCCCCAGCGGCCAGACGACCCTGTCCCGCGGACTGCGGAGGGCGGGGGAGGGAACGCCCTGGGCCACGTGGGCCACGTTGGGGGCCAGGTGGATGGCGGGGGGGCGCGCGGCCTGGCGCTGGTGTCCACGCCGCTGGGCGCGCAGCCAGGGGGCCCGCCCTACCTGACTCGAACACCTGCTGGATGAGGATCCCCTCCAAGGCCCCGCGGGCCCCCGGCACGTCCTCCGAGGACACGGCCACCGCTCTGTGCACCGTGGCGGACACGGCCTGAATTCCTGGAGAGCCACGGGGTGGCCGTGGGAGGGCGCCCAGCGCACTCCAGGCAGCCGGGAGGAGGACCCCGCCCTCCGCAAAACACTCTCTGGGGGAGCCGAGCTTGCGGTATGGGGTACCGGGAGCTGCCCTGGGCGGCCCAGGGGTCCACCTCTGGGGTGCGGCCGGGCGGCGGAGGGGCCGCAGCCAGGACAGGCCCCGCCGTCGCCCCTGGCCCCCCAGGGCGGCTCACCGCTCCCCAGCGGGAGACGCTGCTGCTCCGAGCTGCTCTCGGGCTTCCTGCAGGGCTTGATCTTGGCGTGGGAAGCTCCGGGGGGCGCTGGGGCGGGCGGGGAGGCCAGCCGGCGTCAGGGAGGCCCCACCTCGTCGCCGGGCACCCCCTCCCCGGCTGGGGCGAGAGGCCCCAGGTGTCTGCTGTCCTGATGACCTCGGGGGCTGGGGGACTCCGGGGTACCTGGGCTAGGGGTGCCCCTCAAGGAAGGGGCCGCCCGTGCCTCCTCCGGGGGCTTCTTCTTGGTGGGGGGTCTGGGCAGCAGCGCTGAGGCCTTGGGGCTGCCCGGGGGCCTCCTCCCCTTCCGGGACTGGCTGAGGTCCACATCTGGGGGTGCAGGAGCCAGAGCCAGGCACGGGCAGGCGGCTCAGTGCAGTGGGACCCCCACCCCATCCCCACCCCAACCCCAACCCGCGGCCACCTCTGGGGAAGCTGTCCAGCACTGGCCGCAGCCGGGGGTATCTCTCCAGGTTGTAGTCCTTGAAGAGCACCCTCCAGAAGCCCAGGATGGCCGCACCGTCCTGGGTCAGGAGCCAGGAGACCAATGCGTGCACGGCCTGCGGGCAGCCCTCCCTCTCCTGAAGGCGCAGGGTCTCCTGGGGCGGCCAGGGGCAGGGGCAGGGAGAGGGCTGAGCTCGCGG